TAACTACCAGCAGACCACAGTCCAGGAAGCTCTGTTGGAAAAACAAAGCTGATGTTTTTGACACTTCCAAGATATGCTCCCCAGGTCACCACACACACAGTGCCCCATCCCTCTGCTGGACGTGTTCTAATGCTATGCACAGGCGGAGAGCAGGCTCTGGATGATGTCCAAGGTACCAGATGGCTGCTCTTGTGCAGTGACTCAGATTCTTACCTCCAGCCTCACATCAGCTCTATTCTCCTACACAGCTCTGTTTCCCACTCGGTGCTGTCTGAGATGCAGGTGATTGAGCAGGAAACACCCGTGAGTGCAAAGTCCTCCCGCTCTCAGCTAGACTTGTTTGATGATGTTGGAACTTTTGCCTCTGGACCTCCAAAGTAAGACTATTATTGGGGCTTAGGCTTGGCTTCTTTGTTCTTCTCCTCAGGATTCTCTGAGCCATTTTGCTGTCTCTTTAGGTACAAGGACAACCCCTTTTCCTTGGGGGAAACTTTTGGTTCCCGCTGGGATACAGATGGAGCTTGGGGTGTGGACCGAGTAGAGGAAAAGGAGCCAGAAGTGACGATCTCGAGCATCCGGCCTGTTTCTGAAAGGTACAGTGGTCTAGGTCAGCCCTGTCCTGTAGAACTTTTGTGGTGATGACAGTGTTTTGTGTCTATACAATATAGTGATCCCTAGCTAGGTGACCATTGAGGGGCCCTGAAAATGCTAGTGTGGCTGAAGAACTGAATATAAGTAGCCACAGTGGTAAGTGGCTGCTTCATTGGCCAGTTCAGTAATCCTACTTGACTTAAACTGTGACTTATCACAGAGTTTGGCAGCCTCTTTAGCTTGGGATCTATTTCTATGGTGGGAGGGTCCTGCTTTTCACTTCAGTCCTGACTTCCCTTGAAAGGCTCTGTGCCTCTAGTCTTCATCTTACTGTTTAATTGTAGTGCTGGGGATCGAGCCTAGAGCCTTGCACATTCTAGACACCAGCACATGCTCTGCCAATAAGCTATACTTCCAGCCCTTCCTTCCCCCCGATTTTTTTTAAACCTTATTCCATCTTAATGTGGACAGTGTTTTGTTGGTAAATTATTTTCAGACCATCCATTTGTAAAATGGTGATATAAATAAACCCAGGGTTGTTGAAAGGATTAAATATAATGCAGAAATCCTAGCCCAGAGCCTGTACTAGAACAGGAGTGGCCATGTACCTTTTCACCCACATTTAGATGCTCCTGATATTGGAGGGAGTACTAATAGTAATCATGGCACAAGAGTCTAGGTATAAGCCCAGGCAAACTAAACCATGTGGTCACCCCATTGCAAGGAAGAGTAAGTGTCTAGGGGTAAGGTAGCAGCAAGGTAATATGGCCTTTTTGACCTTGATGAAACTAGTGGTTTGGGGCTGAAACCCAGGGCCCTTCATATTCTACAGGTCTGTGTAGTGTAACTTGTACTCTTTATGCCTTGGCTTTAGTGTATTGAAGAGAGGGCCCTTGAGAGTCAGAACCACAGACAAAATAGGGCATGGCAAGCATGGCCAGAAGGCTGTTGGTCTTTTTTGTGTGTGTCTCTACTCTGCTCCTTCACATCTGTCCCTCAGAGCCACAAACCGGAGAGAAGTGGAGAGTCGGAGTTCAGGCCTCGAGTCCAGTGAAGCTCGTCAGAAATTCGCAGGAGCTAAAGCCATTTCATCTGACATGTTCTTTGGGCGAGAGGTAGATTCTGAGGTGAGTAGAGTTGTGTTTCTGGCAGCAGCAGAGAAACAAGAGCTTCCCTGCCTCTGCTTTGGATGTTAGGAGTTCTTGTGTCATTGGCCAAAGCATCTTAAAGTCTTGCTGTTTTTTCAATGCAGTATGAAGCCAGGTCTCGGCTACAGCAGCTCTCGGGCAGCAGCGCCATCAGCTCTTCAGACCTCTTCGGGGACATGGATGGAGCTCATGGAGGAGGTGGGACCTTGATGGGGTGGTAGGCACTCTGCATGGGCTGTTAGCCAGCTGGAGGGGCCCTATAGACTGGGAAGGGCTTCCTGCAGGGCTCTGGATCACCTATCCCCTTGATTTCACAGGAAGTGTATCTCTGGGGAATGTGCTTCCTACAGCTGACATCGCCCAGTTTAAGCAGGGTGTCAAGTCTGTGGCTGGCAAGATGGCTGTGCTGGCCAATGGTGTGATGAATTCTTTGCAGGTAAGACTGGGTTGCTGCACCTGTGAAAGAGGCCTAAGCAGTAGTGCTCTTTCATATACTAGTCCTGGGTAGCCACTGAGAGCATTTGCTTTCCTTTGAGAAGCAGCTTTCTTTCAGCCCTAAACAGGGCTGGACCTCTCCCTTCTGTACTGACTTTCCATGGCTTTCTTCTCCCTCTTAGCTTCCATGAGTGCTGTGTGCCACCCCTTGCCCCAGCACTCCCCATGTACTCTGTGGGCACCCAGCCCTCTGCTGCTCCACTTCTGCAGCAAGGTTCCATTGAGGAGGGCCCTGCACTTGCTAGGCAGGCACTTTACACTTGAGCTGTATACTTCTAGGTCCTTTTTACATTCACCGGTTACCTTGAAGGCAGACTCTTGCTTTATGCCCAGGCTGGCCAAGGCAGCAGTCCTTCATCTTGTGCTTCCCCATCCCCATCACGATGCTCAGCCATTGTTCTTCCCCATGCCCACCTATTGATTGAGATGGAGCCTTGAAAACTCTTTGCCTGGGTGCCTCAAGCCATAATCCCTTGACCTCCACTTCCAGGCAGCTAGGATTATAGGCTGGAGCCACCCTGTCTGGCTAACTTCGTTTTTTCTTCTCCTTACTCCCAGGATCGCTATGGTTCCTACTGACCCCAGGCTCCGCGGCTCAGGCCTGGAGTGGTGACAGCAGCAAGAAGTCCATGATTCCCAGGCCAGGGCTGCCTGCCTTGTGGAAGCTACGATGTGTCACTTTCTGTGTGTGCTGTGTGAGTTGGGTGGCTTTGGAGGATCTTGGGCAAGGGAAATGGTCATCATCAGCCTATGGATTGAGCCCCTATTTTCATTCCCTCGCCCTCTCCCCATGCTATTGTCCTTCCAGTCCTGCCTCACAGCTGCTGCTCACTTGGCCTGCTGCACAGGGAGGGGAGGGTTCCTTCAGGGTGGCTGATTCTGGTTACAGTTCTTCCCCTAATAGGGAAGGCACAATGCTTTTGCAGGCTGTAGGATCCTTCTAGGTGGTCTGGAGGCCGAAGCCTCCGTCCTCCAGAGATGGGGAGGCCTAGCAAGGGTTCTGTTAGGTACCAGCCCCAGGGAGAGGCTCTGAACTGTTGCCACTAGCAACCTCTTCTGGGTACCAGAAAAGGACATGGGAAGGAAAGACCTTTGGGCCTTACTAAGGGCTAGAAACTTACCCGACACCTGAGTTTCATTTGGGATCAGCCTGAAGGCCTGAGTGATCTATCTGCTTCATGTGGAGCTGACTTTTGCTAGGGGCCTCATAACACTTCCCTACCATAATGGTGGGCCATGGATCCTTGTCCGTGCCTGAGACTGTCCCCTCTTTCCCTGGTTGGGGCCATGGTGGGTGGGTGTCATCTGCTGTGTCCCGACTGGGCGCTGTGAGTCTGTCACTGGCATGGGAGGCTGAAGGCACGATAGACAGCAGCGGGTTCCTGGGGCTCAGCTTTCTTCCTCTGCATCATCCTGGGCCGAGGGTGGCCTGAAGGGCATCCCATCCATGAGAGCTTGAAGGGCCTGCAGCGAGCCTCACCCTTTGGCAGCTGAGCCATGCACTGTGTCATCCGTGGTGCCATCTTCCCCTGCCACGCCGGAAGCAGACTGGGCCCCCTACTCGAGGTTCGCAGGTTGGACTTCCAGGCAACACAAACCACTCTTCCCCATCCCTCCCCCAGAGGGACATAACTTTCTTTCAGGACTGTTTGTATTGAAACAAAGTGGTGTCAAAATAAAGCCCCCACGGGGCCCTGTGGGTCAGTGTCCTCTCCATGCTGCCTCCCTGCCCAGTGTGGCCCCGCTCACTCTCTGGGCTCCCACCGATACAGGCTGGGCGTTGGTGCCGAAGCTGAGGGCACTCTCTCCAGGGCCTCCAGCTTGTCTCTTCTCTGAAAGTCAAAGTCCCCTGGCTCCTCGCCCCTGTGCTGCCGTGCGGTCCGGTGCAGCCTCGACCTCACCACCCTGTTGCACGCGGAGGAAAGAGCTGGTGTTAGTTGGCCCTCCGGTTCTGCTGCAGAGATCATGACTGAGGGCTGGCAAGCATCCTTGCAGGCCTGCTCCTCACCACAACAGCAGGCATAGCTCGGACAGGTTCCTCGGAGTTGAAAAAAGTATTTTAAGTATTCAGACCTAAATGAGAGCCTGTTAAATCCTAGAAGAGTAGATGTTTGTGTAGAGCCTTCTGGATGGGCCATCCCTTTCCTTATAGGAGCCTCTGCAACATCTTTTTTTCCCCAGATCCACAGAAGTTGAGGATTAGAAAGGAAAGTGGAAGCCGTGGGATCAAGCCCATAGAGGCCCGTCTGGGCACAGAGAAGCTCAGGAAAGTGTGTGCCTCCTGTGGCGACTGGCAGCCTGCTTTGCTGGGGCTTCTGGGTGGGTTTCTCTTTCTATGAAGATTCTCTTCCCCTTCAAGGAAGTTGAAGATCACCTGCCTTTCCTTCACCTAGTCTTTGGAAACCTGTAGGCCTCAGCCTGCTAGCCACTCCTCTACCTGGCTCCACCAGGGTCTTTCCAGATTTCTATTCACATCACAGCTGCATTCACATACATGCCCTAGCCCTTGAGTGTTTTAGTGAAACCTTGGCTAGAGGCCATGCAGTAACAATGCAGTGTGGTCAGGGCCTTGAGAATCTATGGGAATCTGGCCTTGAGCCTTCTAGGCTATTTCTGAAAGTCACTCCAGCTGTGCACACCTCTGAGCAGTGGATTTCACTAGGCTGAAGTGGTCCACCAAGCCCGTTGTCCCATCATTCCAGAAAAGCACCCAGACCCCAACCTCCCCTTTCCCTTCCCTCAGCCTGGGGCCTTTAGACTCACCACTTAGCAGACACAAGGGACTTTATTCATTTCACAGATTTGCTATTAGACACAGGAGACTTGAAGCAGGCTTTTGCAAGTGAACTTTCTGCCCACCCTTCTTTCTACTGTCATGACTAGTGACTGATTTTTCCAGCAGAAGGCCACAGTTGGTATCTTCCCAGTATTGCTCTCAGGTGTCATCCTTGATGGAATCAGGCTATTTGTTATCGTTCTCCCTTATATGAAGTGTTAAGGGATGAACCTTATCAAGGGACTAGCAGAGACTGGCTGAGAAAAGAGGTAAGGGGGACTGCCAACAAAAGGCTTAGGGCAAGTCCCTTTCCCAGTGATGACAGATGACCTCAGGATAGTCTGTCAGCTTAAGTCCAAAGGATGACAGTGCCAGAGAGAGCAGGCTATAAAATTGCTAGGTCACTGCTTGGCTTGGCTGATGATTGAACTGGCAGGCCTCTGTGGCTGTTCAGCTTTTCTGCCAGCAGAGGGCAGCACAGCAAGGCGCTAGAGGAGGTTAGGTGGGGTACCATGGATTGGATGGGAGAGCAAGGTACCGGGTGAAAGCAAGGCCCTTCAGATTCCTCAAGTCTCAGACTCATCTGTCTCTTCAGTGGAGCCATCGCTCTCTGCATCCACTTTGCGAGGGTGATGGAGAGGCCTCCAAGGGGAGCCAACCCGGGAAGGGGTCCGGGAAGGCAGGTAGCCGGCCTCTGGAGTGGCAGTGATCGGATTGACCAGGCCTGGGACCTGCACCAGCCTGAAGAAGGGAAGAACCTGGAGGGCAGTGAGGTGCTTCCTGTCCAGAAACTAGAACCTTCAGGTTCCCTCTTGTGTCTGAACAGCCATCACCCATGGACTCAGGATACCTTGGGCCTCTGTTGTTCCCCCTTCTCCCCTAGCCCTTCCTTGACTAGTGCAGGATGTTACAGACAGGTGCCACAAAACCCACAGTGGGGCACAGCCATGTCTGACTGAGGTTAGGCTCCCACAAAGGGGCATTTCCCCAACTTGACACTTACAGCCGTTCCAGCTCCTCATCCATGGCTGGGTCATGCATCAGGTCTCCCTTGTCAGGTAAAGCTCCTAGGAGATAATGGGAAAGGGTTGTGTGTTTGGGGACGGGGGGGGGGGGGGGGGGGAGAGGGTGGCGGCATCTGACAACCTGAGGGTTCTTCAACCAGGCAATAGATCCTTCATGCTCCTTATATTCATGTCTGCCTACTCTGTTGACCCTGAGAGGACTGATTTCAAATGAGGGGAAGACTGCTAGCAGCCAAAAACCTACCCTGGCGCAGGAAGCAGAGGGGACAAGGAGACATCCCCAGAGAGTGTCATCCTATTCCAAGATGAGCTCTGAGCTACGTTTTCTTCTTGAGGTCCCATGTATTGGTTCCAAGGGGTTTGGCCCAGGCCAAAAGTAGGGAAACATTTAGATACAGTTCAAAGTTCAAAAAAACCAAAATCAACCTTTGGCCCTGAAGAAACTGCCCCAGTCTAAAGTCTTACTACAATCTTGTGGCATTTTTTTGTTTTGTTTTGGGTTTTTTTGTTTGTTTGTTTGCTGCAGATGGAGAGTTTAAAGGGAAGAAGAGTGTGGTAGGAAGGGGAAGCTGAAGTTCACATAGGAAGATTCTCATGAGCAAATGGTTGAGGGAAAACAGCTTAAGATGCTATTCTCCAGAAAGATTTGAGGTTATGTTTACATATCTGACAGGTGTTTTTTTGTCTGCCAGAGCTGGGCCTTAACTTTTGGCTTCGTGCTCTTGCTCTGCTTTTTCACTCATGGCTGGCATGCATTCATCCAGTCCCGTTGTTTCTAACCTTTCTAGGTGGTGCTTCACGGCCTCTTTTGCTCTTATTGATTTTCAAACTCACTCTCCCATGGAGCTTCTCATTTTTTTGGGGGGGGTTCCCCTGGGGACAAAGGAAATGGCTATTTACTCCTCCACAGTTGGCTCCAACCAGGGTTTTTCCAGATTTCTGTTGCATATCATTAAGCTGCTGCTTTCTTTTCTTTTTTTGTACAATACTGAGGACTGAACTGAGGTTTTTTTGTTGTTGTTTTGTTTTTTTGAGACCCTTAGGACAGGAGAGGTTAGTCCAAGCTGTAATTTAGTTGCTAGTTAGCTTTTCCTTGTCCTTAACAGCTGGGGAAGGAGTGAAGGTGAACACTTACCCTCACCTTTGGTTTCTTAACTCCTTATTAGTCCTTTTTTAGTTCTAGAATAGCTGGTGACCTTGACTTACCAACCTCATTTAGTTGAGGGGTCCCTAACTCAGAATAACCAGGCTGCCAGGGGGCATGTATGCCCAAATCTGCATGGAGTTAGCGCCCATGGACCTCCCAGAGAATGTGGACAGGTGATGTACTGGGTACCATTATAGACAAAGTTGTCAGCAGAGCATTTGGCCCACGACAATGTGTACTTGATGTGTTAACTTCTTCCTTGACTCCATCTCTCAACTGGAAGGAAGAGGGGATGCTCCCTGTTTTGTCCAAGAGTAGAATGTCTGGAGACACAAATAAAACTCCACCAGGTGGCAGCTTGCTAGCTCTTCTGAGAGATTTGGTAAAGGCAAGGGGGGTAGTGGGGGAGGGGCAGACAACAAGGACGAAATGACAGGCAGGAAAACTGGGCTAGTGCAACCTTCCTCCACTGGGGCTTGAATTCAAGGCCTAGGCACTACCTCTTAGCTGCACTTTTTTTTTTTTTTTGGTCAGTCCTGGGGCTTGAACTCAGGGCCTGGGCACTGTCCCTGAGCTTCTTTTGCTCAAGACTAGTACTCGGTCACTAGAGCCACGGTGCCACTTCCAGCCTTTTCAATTTATGTGGCACTGAGGAAGCGAACCCAGGGCTTCATGCATGCTAGGCAAGCACTCTACCACTGAGCCACATACCCAGCTCCCACCCCCCTTTTTTATTCTCTTCTCAAGGTAGCATTCTATCACTTGAGCCACAGCTCCACTTTGGCTTTTTGAAGGTTCATTGGAGATTAGCCTCATGGATCTTCCTGCTCTGGCTGATTTCTGTGATCCTCAGATCTCAGCCTCTTGAGTAGTTAAAATTATGGGTATGAGCCACTGGCATCCATCCGTTCACTTTTTTCCCCTTCCCTTCTCTTTATTTTATTTTTTATTTTATTTTATTTTTGGTCCGGTTGTGGGGCCTGAACTCTGGGCCTGGGCGCTGTCCTTCAGCTCTTCAGCTCAAGGCTAGCGCTCTACCACTTGAGCCACAGTGCCACTTCCGGCTTTGTTCTTATGTGGTGCTGAGGAATCGAACCCAGAGCCTCATGCATGCAAGGCAAGCACTCTACCACTGAGCCACCTTCCCAGCCCTCCCTTCTCTTTTTAAGGTGAATCAGATTTTTTTTTTCTCCTCCCAGACACCCCTTGCCTGTTTCTAAAAGGGCTAAATGAGATTCAGGTTTCTTTGATATATAATCTCCAGAGCCACTGGGTAAATAGCCCAGTCTGTGGGCTGTTCCCCACAGCAGAAGCAGTGAGTCTTTGGGGAGGGGCTGGGCACACCTGTGCCCAGTTGTGGGAGGCTGCTTCATTCATGTTGGGGCAGGGCCTTGGGCAGGAAGGCTGTCCCTCACAGCACTGTGAGAGGCCTGCCAAGGCACAGTCTTGGGCTGTGCACATGCCAGCTCCCAAGGGCTCAGAGGCTGGCCCACAGAAGTCAAGTCGGAAATGAGAATGTCTCCTACCCCATGTCTACCAAGAGGCCAGCAGCATGGTGGGGAAGCTAACTGGCTTACCTAGGGCTTGATTGATTCCATGATGCTTTGAGAGGGCCACAAGGAATCCATAGAAAGTCAGCCTCTGAACGCTGCTGAGGATCTCTTTGACAAGTGCTGGGGGTGGACAGCTAGAAGGTAGAATAGAGATGTCAGATTCAAAGGCTAGCAGGTCTGGGTGCCATCCTTTCATCCGTATTTTCGGGCTTAGGGAGATACCAAGGCTGAGACCCAGGGACCAGCCATAGGAGCCCTCTAGCCATGAGAGCACAGAAGATCTCCAGGAACAAGGGCCTGGCGGGAGACAGGAGGAGGCTCATGTGTATATTTCTTGCTGTGTTTACAGGGGTGTAGGAAGGAAAAGAGGAGGCCTACTATGATGGCCTCCTTGGCTGGCAGCTGTCCCTAGAGGGAGCTTTGTACCACATGGGGCAGTCAGCCCTCCCTCAGGAAGCTCTACCAGCCACAGGGCTCAGTGGGAAAGTTGAGAATAGCAAGTACTTCTCAAGGCCAATCTGTTCCTTGGAGAGCTAGTCTCTACAATTGCTCTTGTGCAAGTGAAAGTACTCCTTTCTAAGTGGCTATTTGGGCCACTTTAGTTACAACCTGCTTGGGTCAAATGGTACTTTTTTGGGGGGGGGGGCATTGGTCATGGGGCTTGAACTCAGGGCCTGTGATTTTTTTTTCCTCAAGGGTAGTGCTCTACCACTTTGAGTCACAGTTCTACTTCTGGTTCTTACGTGGTTAGTTGGAGATAAGAGTCTCACAGCCTTTGCTGCGGAGGCTGGCTTTGAACAGTGATCTTCAGCTCTCAGCCTTGTGAGTAGGATCATAGGTATGAGTCACCAGTGCTTGGCCAGTGCTAATTTATATGGTGACTCTCCAGGAACTCCAAACCAATCTGAACACTCTGCTAGAGACTTGTTCCCAGGGCAGCAGCCTGTGGTTCCCAGGGCTGAGGTGGGATTCTGGGTGCCCATTTCCCACCTGTACTTGTGCCGGTCACACAGGTTTTCCAGATGCTGGTAGAACAGTGATGCCTCCACTCCCTCCAGCGTGCTAGCCTCGCCCAACGCAGGTCGCTGGTGGTGCTGCCCACTGGACGATGTTGGCACGATCACGGTGTTGGGGTTCTTGCCTGACAACAGGTCCTGATAGATGGCAGCCACACTGTCCAGGAACTCTGGTAGCATGGGGGTGAGAGGTATGGCTCAGGGAGGATGTACTTCCTTCACTGGGTCCTCCTGTCTCTAATAGCTCAGCTCTACACCAGCTCTTATACTGGTTTGACTGCCACCCTCCTGAGAGATGTCACTCATTGAGCTCAAACTCCCATCCTGTGGGCGGCTGTTCCCAGACTGAGTTCCCCATTGCATAGTGTCACAGTGTGCTCTATTTTCTGTAGCACTTGCTCAGTGACATATTTTCACTTACCAGTGACAAGTAACCCAGCACCTAGTATTGGTATAATTTATTTGTGTGTGTGCGTGCACATGTGTGCTGGTCCTGAGGCTTGAACTAAGGGCTTGGGTGCTCTCCCTGAGCTTTTTTTGCTCAAGGCTAGTACTCTACCACTTGAAGTGAAGCTTTCAGCTAAGTTTTCAGGTTTTTGATAGTTAATTGGAGAAGGAGTCTCATGGGCTTTCCTGCCGAGACTGGCTTCAAACTGCAATCCTTAGATCTCAGCCTCCTGACTAGCTAGGATTACAGGCATGAATCACTGGCACCTGGCTAAGCTATGTGTTGAGATAGTGAACATGTCCATGTTCTCCTTGTAACACCCATCTTGGGAGGCCACCTGCCTCACTGACTCGTAAGGCATGCTGGAGTATCAGTGAGGAATAGGAAATGCTTGCGAGCACTGATGTAGTAATCCTCTCAACTCATTTTGTTACAGATGTGCCACTGATAATACATGGCTCTAGCCCTTCTCATCGCCCTGTCCTGGGACTGCTATAAGAGGTGGCCCAGGGAGGCAGCAAAGGAAATAGTGCTCCCACACATGGTTGTTATTGTCCTAGGCCCCAAGCTTCAAAGCAACGGGACATAGATGCCTGGTGCTGCTAGGAGTGGGGCGGAGCCCCCAGGCTCAGCCCCTGCCTGACCAGCCCTGGGCTGCCATGGAATAAACAGCATGTGGCACCCGAGTGAGGCCAGTTGGAGGAAGGCCATCTTCAGGCTCCAAGGACAGCCTTCTATTTACTGGAAGAGCCCGTCTTAAACAAGTATGTTTATGGACACAGCAGTTTCTAAACCCCACATCCTATTTGATGCTTGTGTGCAAACTTGTAATGCATTTGTATTGATTCATCTACTTTTATTCCACGCCATTCCTTAAGGACACAACTGGTCTAAGTGAGAGAGCAGAGTGGAAGTGTATTAAGTAGAGGAACAGACCTGGGGAGTGCTTTATACTGAATAGGATTTTGCTGTGTTATCCAGGCTGGCCTTGACCTCCTCTGGGCTCAAGTAATCCTTATGCTTCAGTTTTGAGTAGTTAGGACTATAGCTGTGCACTACTGTGCCCAGCTTGGTGTGTGCTTATTAAAAGTTACAAGAATGGGGGCTGGGAAGGTGGTTTAGTGGTAGAGTGCTTGCCTTGCATGCATGAAGCCCTGGGTTCGATTCCTCAGCACCACTAAGCAGAAAAAGCTGGAAGTGGCGCTCTGGCTCAAGTGGTAGAGCTCTAGCCTTGAGCTGAAGAGCTGAGGGGCAGCACCCAGGCCCAGAGTTCAGGCCCCACAACTACCAAAAAAAAAAAAAGTTACAAGAATGATAGCAAGTATGCCATACATGTGACCAACAGCTGAGGAAGAGGTAAAGAGGACTGACTTTGGAGTCAGCCTCCTGTGCAAGTCTGGGCTTCACCACTGTGGAGCTGCCTGGCTTTGACTACTCACCCTGTGAGCTTTTCCTTAAAGGACCTATTTCTTAGGACTGGTGAAAGGATTAAAGTCCCTGTGCCATGCTTGGGACAGAGTGGGTTCTTAGTAAGGAGTGAATGAGTGCTTTGGATGCGGCACTGCTCTTATCAGTAGAATGGATTGGTTGTGTGGCCAGCTGGAGGCAGCAGTGCCCATTGCTGGTTTTCAGTGTCTTTAGGAGGCTGAGGACAAACTGCAGACTAGCTCATGACTGACACTACAAGTGAGGTATCCTGCTTGTGGCCTGTGGTAAAATACAGCTCTAGAGAAGTAGGGAAGGGAGCCGTGTGTGCCATGTGTGCACACAGATGCAAAGGACGACTTGGTAGGAAGAAGGAGGTGTGGTCCTTCACAGGAGCTGCAAGGGGTCTGGAACCCTCTCACCTGAATAGTAAAACTGGATCTGGAAGGCGAAAAGGAAATCTGAAAAAGACATCAAGCAGTCCATGGCATCGTCCATGAGCACAATTCTGAGGGGAAAGAGAATATGGGAGATTGTGTTATGTATGTACAGAGAGAGAGAGAGAAAGAGAGAGAGAGAGAGCGGGGGGGAGGGGAGCTCATGTGAGATGTTCCTGGGCCTGCAGGGGCAGCAGGATATTTGACAAAAGGGGACCCAAGAGCAAGCTTCTCCCAGTCACCTCACTTCGACATCAGCTGAGGACTCTGCCTCCAAACTGAATGGAGTCAGGTGCACGAAGGCTCCCAGTTCAGTCTCAGTGGCACCATCTAGTAGAACAGCACATGGGCAGAGGGGGCTGGGGCTGGGGTGGCAAGGAGAGAATGCAATTGTAATTCCGCCAAGATCTCTTTTCATATACTTAAGCAGTAAATCCTTTCATTCTGCAATGAGGACCATTTAGATCAGAATAAATACAGCTGATCAGAAAAGACAAAAAGAACAGCCAAGAGGTTTAAAGGGGTCTTGGCAAGTGCTACTGAGACTTAATAAGCTACCAATTGGCCTGAACAGTTGACAGGCACCTCCACCCCAGGGCCCAGGTGGCAGAAGGAGGAAGTGGAGGCCACCGTGCCTCTTCACTATCCACTCTGCTGGGTCTTCCCTGTCTCTGTTCCCTCCTAGTGGGCACCCACCTCACAGAAGGAAAATCATTTGACTAGTTAAGGGATCAGACCAAGGCCAGGGCTGCATCTGAGGGGGGGGGGGGGGACAGGAAGAGAAGGAAATTAGCAGTATTTGGGCTCCGTCCATGTGACAGGCAGGGTGCCAAAGTTCTCTACTGGAGTGGAAGTGGGCCCCAGACTGGTTCTTTCCTTTTCTCTTTAAGACAGTTTTATTTTGCTTTTATTTTTTAAGTGCTAGACTGGGACCTAAACTCAGTATCTGATGCTTTTGCTCACTGTCTGGCGCTCTACCACCTGAGCCATGCCTCCAACATCTATCTTGCTGTCTTGTGGGTTTGTGTGTGTGTGTGTGTGTGTGTGTCATGCGGCCTAAACTCTGGGCCTGGGCTCTGTCCTTTAGCTCTTCAGCTCAAGGCTAGCGCTCTGCCACTTGAGCCACAGTGCCATTTCCTGCTTTTTCTGCTTATGTGAGCTGAGGAATTAAACCCAGTGCTTCATGCATGCAAACTAAGTGCTCTACCACTGAGCTACCTTCCCAGCCCCCATCTTGTGTATTTTTAAAAAAATTCTTCACTCCCTGTGTCAGAAGGGCCCCAAACTGGCAAACTGGATCACCCCAGAGACAGCCAGCATTGCTCACCCTTGGAGAAGAGACTTAATGGCGAACACAATTCAAGTGGTGTGCCTGCCCTTGACTTGTGCCACACAGATGGCCTCGGTGTGAGAAATTGTAATAATAATACAGGGATCATTTCTGAGGTCTCCATCTATGACAGGCAGTACAAAGTATTTAGCTTCATTAATTAAACCATAGTACACAGCATACTTTAAGGTGAGTCTTATTATTTTTCCATGTCAAGGCAAGTAATCTGTCTCAGAGAAGTCAGATTTCCAAAGTCACACATATAGCTGGGGGGTTTACACAGCTCTGCAGACTGATTGCTTCCAAGTCATCACACACACACACACACACACACACACACACACACACACACACACACACACACACTTCAAATATATTTTTTAGCTGTACAAAGGGGGTTTAACTCCAAAATTCAGGTTATGAGTGCAAGTGCACCTTGACCAATGTCACCCCTTCTATCATTCTCTCTCATCTTTCCCATCCCATCACTACCCTCAAGTTATGTCATGCTTTTAAAATGAAAACCCAGAATAGAAGCCTGTAATCCTAGCTGCTCAGGAGGCTGAGATCTGAGGATCACTGTTCAGAGCCAGCCAGGACAAGAAAGTCCGTGAGACTCTTATCTCCAATAAGCCACCAGAAAACTGGAAGTGGTGCTGTGGCTCAAGTGGTAGAGCGCTTGCCTTGAGCTGAAGAGCGCAGGAACAGCGCCCAAGCCCAGAGTTCAAGACCTACAACCAGCCAAAAGAACAAAAAACCCTAGATTAGAAACACAACGTTTGATTTCTTAAGCCTCTGTGCCTAATTCATTTTCTTTACCCTTGTCTGTAACTTTGGGACCTTGACTGTTTCTCATGTGTATCTTGGGAGAAAGAAAGATTGTTCCAGCTGGAAAATTTGGGTGTGGGTAGGAGGAAGCAATGCTGCTGAGGGCCACAGGAGGGCGCCATATCCCTCCATCAGAATAAGTGTGGCGCCATAGACCAAGTGGTTGCCTCCACTCTTGGTAGCCCGAGCAGAACCCAGGCAGGCAAAAGGAGAAAGGACATGTGGATGGAGAGGGAGAAGAGAGAGGACTTGGCTTAGCAAAGACACCAGATTTTGGAGGAAGAGGGAGTGCTCTCAGGGGCTATCAGGAAAAGAGAGCCACCAGCACCTCAGGAGGAGAGAAACCAGAGACTTTCTGCCTGCTCCACACCCCAGACAGCCAACTACCCCATAGGTGGAAGGCCAAAGGCTTTGGGCTGCATGGCGGAGAGCAACTCCTCAGGAACACATGGAAGGGGCCTTTGAGGACAATACGTGCTTTTCTCATTTATCATCAATCTGGAACCCAGTGCTCCTGTGATGTCTCTGGGATGTGAGTGACACGAGTACCCTCCCTAACACAGAATGGGGCCTCAGCCTCAGCTTTCTGTCACAGGCTGGTCTTGATTTGAGCACTAGCCCCCTCGACTTCGTTACTGTTGCTTTAAATTTTATGGTTTTACTTAAGCACATCTATTCGCTTCCTTCATTGTGATCCTGGCATTGGGTCTGGTGACTCCGATGGTCACTAGCTAGTCTCTAGGGCTGCTCTTTCCAGGATGGCTCTGTCATTCATGGAGGAACCCTGAGCAACTAACACATGGGCAGGACTTTTAGCTCTTTGACTTTGTGGACCTGGAACCAGTGGGTCTCACTGTGCAGCTTGGGCTGGCCTTGATTTTGCAGTCCTCCTGCCCCAGCCTCTTGAGTTTTAGCATGACAGAAGTGCACCACCACTCCAAGCTCAGCTTAGTTTTCTTATTGCTCTTATAACCAATGTTTGGATATTAAGATCTGGCCCTTGAATCTTTTTTATACTCTGGGTTTCCCCAAGTTACACTTAATTTTGACATAGTGGTTCTAGTTGGCCAGCTAAACCTTTTCATCCTTCTTTTAGGGCTCATGAGAAGTTTGAGGCAGCCATGATGCTGAGTAGGACAGAGCCAACACACTGCCAAGAAGGACAGACCAGCTCCTCTTTGAAGCTGGTGTGCTGTGGCAGAGAGGAGACTCAGAGGGGCAAGGCAGCCTGGTTGCCTTGCTTGTGTCCCTGCTGCTGCTTTGGCTGAATTGTACATGGGTCAGGAGGGACCAGTGAGCAGGCTGATGGAGGCAGATAGATGCAGGAGCCTTCTTAAGGTCCATGTGTCTAGATTCCAGCAACAAGGCTGAAGAGTTCCACTATAAGCAGTAACATTGAAGACACAAAGCAAACTGGATCTCAGCTTTTCTTTTTTTCGCTGATCCCGGGGCTTGAACTCAGGGCTTAAGTGCTGTCCATGAGATTTTTGCTCTGGGCTAGTACTTTGCTACTTGAGCTACAACTCCACTTTCAGCTTTTTTTGCCTTGTGTGTTTGTGTATCTCATGGGAGATAAGAGTCTCACCAGTTTTCCTGTCTGGGCTGGCTTTGAACCTTGATCCTCAGATCTCATGAGCCACCAGTGCCCAGCTACAGATTTTCTTAGCAGTATCATTACCTTCTATTTTATCCACTATTCTGTTCAGCTAGAAACCTAGGAAGCATCCTAGACATCTTGAAGATCCCTCCCTCAGTCCACCACAGAGTCCTCTCAATCTACAGCTAAAATGTTATTTCTAGCAACATCTTTCTTGCACATCCATAGCTACCATCTCCACAGCCACCATCTCTACATCTTGACCTCTTTATTCTTTTTCTTTCTTTTTTTTTCTTTTTTTTTTGTTGATTGTGGGGCTTGTACTCTGGGCCTGAGCACTGTCCCTCAGCTCTTCCACCCTTCCCTCAGCGCTCTACCACTTGAGCCACTGAGCCACTTCCGGCTTTTTCTGCTTATGTGGTGCTAAGGAATCAACATGATGCTAAGATTTACCAGGGCCCCTCATGTATGCGAGGCAAGCATTCTACCACTGAGCCACCTTCCCAGCCCTAACTTCTTTATTCTTGACAACTACATGACTTTCTATCTGGTTTCTCTGCAACTATGATTTTTATTTTTTGAGACAGTATCTTTATTATTATTTTTTGAGACAGTATTTAAGTAGCCCAGAGTGGCCTCAAACTTAAGACCCTACTGCTTCAGCCTCCTGAATGCTGGGATTACAAGTGTATGCCATGGTGCCCAGTTCTTACTTCCTTCTGAGTACTGTGGTTGGAAAAATCTTTGGAAAATGAAAATTTGGACATGCTGTCGTGCTATCTAAAACCTTCACAGGCTTCCCCTGTCACTGCCTTCATCTAGAAGAGAGCTCTCCATTTCCCCTCTCCCAATTACTAGGGTTTGAACTCAGGGCTTGTACTTGCTCGGCTGATGCTCTACTACTTGAGCCACACCTCCAGCCTGGCTTTTTACTATTTAGTAGGAGATGGAGTCTTCCAGGTTTTTCTGCCTGGGCTGGCTTCAGACCATGATCCTCTGAATCTCAGCCTCCTAAGTAGCTAGGATTACAAGCATGAGCCATAAGTGCCCAATACAGACTCCCCAATTCTTATCCTGGCTCGCCAGTCCCCTTGAGCACACTCTGACCCATTCAGCTCTAGAGATCTGGTTGGAGGGCACAGGCAGCATCCTTCATGTTGATCCTCTGTCCTTTCCTATGCCCACCTCTTCAGGCTTTCCCACTAGCCAGCTCCTTTATCCATAATGCTCTCTCCACCTCCACCCCCTACAAGCTGCTCCTTAGCACCTCTTGCCAGCCCAGGCTTCAGGGTAGCCTGCTGAGCAGCTCTCAGAGA